GCCCCCCATTTGCAAACTATGACACTTTCCTAAAATTTGTCATTTGCATATGTAACTAGAAGAGTTCTACTACAATGCATCAAAACCTGGAGTTATTTAACCAAAAAATAAAAAAATTGCAGGGGGTACTCTGACAGGCTTTAAATAATAGCTTTTTTTCGTGCGTCACATTTTTAATTTTTTAATGTATTAGATATGCAAACTTTTTAAATCTTTCTATTGTGTTATGTAGCCTCAGTATTAGGCCTTTAATGCCCATTGACAAAATTTTTCTATGTCTAATAGTTTTTGAGTTGTGGGGTTTTTTGTACAAAAAACGAAAAGTGGTCTAAGTTACCCCGCCGGTCTAAGTTACCCCATTTTACGGTACGGTACTTGATAATAACTTCTTAACATGAGACATTCCATAAACAAAATTGTGCTCATTTTAAAGGTCTTTGCAAGGGCTATTGTATGGCATTTTAAAAAAATTCCGATATGCTATTTGTAAGGTGCAAAAAGCAAAAAAAAAAAAAAAATGTTCCAAATTACCCTTGACCTTGAGAATGGGATAATTAGGGATACTTGAAATAAAACATAATCATAAAATGTTTGAACTTGAAGCATGCAGAGACTCAGAGTGTACCTACTCATCCATTACTAAGTCTGTTAGTAAAGTACTCCAAAGTCCTCCTTTTCATTTGTAGGACTAGGAGATGTAGAATAAATGAGGTTTTCTGTGATTTGTACTTGTTTTTACAACACTTCTCTTCAACTTCACTTCTTGTTTGTTTGTTTGTTTGTTTGTCTGTCTGTCTGTCTGTCTGCTACAAATCTTGTAATCGTAATTTAATACACTTCTACTTCTCCTATCGATCTGAAATTTTGCACACTTGTGTAAAGTTGGAGACAATGCATGAATCAAATGTCAAAATAAATGATTTTAAAAATGTAATTTTTTTTTTCAATATTAAAAAAATATAAAAAATAATTTTGTCAGCTACAAATCTTATAACTGATATATGACACACTTTTACCTGTCAAATTGATCTGAAATTTTGCACACTTGTGTGAAATCAGAGGCAATGCATGAATCAATTAACATAATAAATAATTTTGAAAAAAATTTATATAATGAAGAAATTTATATATACTGGTATTAAAAAATTGAAAAATATTTTTTTTTAATTTTCGAAAATTAGATGAGAAATTCATTGTACATCTGTAAGATTGGAGATACTGGATTCTTTAGAAGTGTTGTATTTAAAAAGTAATTTTTAAACGTATATTATTCCCTCTAATGATGATAATACCATATCCATTTTTCATCAACAAAAACTATTTCTCCCTTTCTATATCTAAAATTTTTAAAACCCCACAATAAACTTCCATGTCATTGGCATCAACCTTGTCCACTGCAAGCTTCATATCAGCAGCCAATAATCATAGTGGCAAAGCAGAGAGTTTTTAGACTCTCCCTCAAGTTCAATTTTGAGTCCTATAAGTAGACCAGTAAAGTATCATGGATACCAGCATTATCATCGTACATAAGAAATTGGTATAAGTCTTGAGTAAACGAGGAAATTAAAAATGAACTGAATTCAACTGATGCTAAAAAATCTCTGGTTTGTGGTAGCCGTGTAGGATTTCCTATGGCAGCCGTGTAGGATTTCCTATGGCAGCCTATGGCAGTCGTGTAGGATTTCCTTTGTAAGCTTACAGGACTGGCCGACTGGGGTTGTAATTTTTTACATTTTAATTGGGTCAAGTGAATTCACTATGAAAAAAAAATATTGTAAAAAACATATGTGACACAGAAAGGAATATTTAGTGATTACCATTTTTTTTTGGAGAAATAAATCAAAGTTTAGGTTAATTACTTTTCATTCTATCTTGCCTGGTGCACAATTCTGCCTATGACATTCTATGCACATATTTGTTGACCAAAGATGCATTAGTTTTTTTGTTACATATCATTTTTTTGTGAGACAGGTAAATTTAATCAATATTTTTTTTGTCATTAACCGATTTTTTGTTAACTGGAGCCTTTGCTAACCAAGGTTAATGTAAATGCATTTTTTGGGTCCTATATTAAATTATTAAATGCAGTCCTATATTTCCCCTGGGTGGTGTCCCTTATTATCCCGTAATGCTGAAATGGCTGCCATTTTGTTTATGATTGAGGTACGCAAATTCCATCAATAAAGTTTTAAATCCAACACCTGTCTGCAATTTTTATTTTGAGGGAAAATTTTTTATTACAGCAACTGTATTTTTATTACAGACATTAGCAGAAGTAATTTTCAAAAATATAATTTTTTAACAATTTTCGGGGATTTTTTAGTGCTAGTAAATGTATGATTTCTTAACTTCCTTTATGCTACATAGATAGGAAAAAAGTTGAACTTTATTCCACTATTTATAATTCTAAAATATTTCAATTACTTTTGCTTCTATGGCATTTTTATGCCATGGCCAAGGACTGTCTTAATATACTCCACCCGACCCATATTACCCCGTTTGACAGTAGATATACCTATTACATACCAGACCAAAATCATCTGTAAAATAGGCTAGTTGAGTTTATTTTGAAAAAATTCCAAGAATTTAAATGGCCCATGGGCAACTTTGGCTGATTCACATACCATGTGGGCCTGACATCAATTTCTACCATTTGAAAAATTGGGCAGAAGCACCCCTGAGATTGTTGTCATATTCATACATTTTTATGGCCCTTGCCAAATTCCTTCCATAAAAAATGGAACAAATGGCATATTGTTGCTGGCAATTTTGAAAATTGCCTGTAAAATGTTAGTTTTTACCTGCAGTTTTTGGAAATTTATGCCCAATACTCTAGATTGGGGTTTCTGATTGTAGCCCAACCAATCTTCTCATGAAATTTATAAAATTTTGATACAGTTTCTAAATAATTAATTTAAAGAAGAGCTACAAATCTAAATTCCTTTCAGTTTAACATTTCAGTTTAAACATGTTAACATTTTTAATGGTCTGTTAACGTATGACATTGTTAGGTCATTGTTATTAGCCTCTTTTAAAATATTTCATCAGCTGTTAGCATTCAGGTTAGCATTTATGTGTTCAGGGTTCAGGTAATTCTAGGAATAATGGTATTTATATATTAAAGATGAATCCATAATAGTAATTCAATAAGTTCCCAAATGTCAGCTATGTAAATGAAATGTAGTTTGAAATTTTCAGATCCAATAATATGTGTGCATTTGTTCACACATTACCCCTGCTGAATTCCATGCTGTTAATAATGATGTATTCTAATATTTAATTAATATTATTGTTGATGTGCAAGTGCAGGTAAGTCCTCCTTCTGTGCAACCTTGACAATGTTTTACATCTGCCACCATGTGCCTAAATGGTTGCTCATTTTTCATTTGATTTCATCATTTGATTTTTGATGCTAGCAGTTCCTAGTGCATTTATGGAAAAAATTGACTATTGTGCTCGTCATGTCCATCCACAAATTCACGTCATAGGCGGACAAGAAAATTTGCTCTCTATCACTCACTGCAGTGAGTACTGATAGAATTTTTATTTTCATTTCAGATTTCTGTTGATCCTTCAATACTTGAACTTCGTGCACATTTGTTGTGTGTCAAATACCATCACAATGGGGAAAGTTTCTGTGAAGTAAGTTTGTATTTATTACTTACTTTATACTTAATGATATTTATTTGATGATATATGTATAATTTTATACATGGTTATGTTAAAGTTATATTTCAATGTAGTTTGATTGGAAAATCAATAATTTCAGATTGGAAGCCGTTCAATTTCTCCTACTTCAAGTACCAGAAAAATGATCAAATTTGAAATAGGGAAATAAATATTAATAAATTGTATATAATGAAATATTGATAATAAGGTTTATAAGCAATACTTCGTGATATGTAATAAAATATAATCAATCTTATTCACAGATCAAATATTAATTAGGCTTCTAATCAACTAATCAATACTTAACAGATCTGAAGGCAAGGAGGAAAAGCCTGCTGCCTTGGGCATGGCCAAGATGAGTCGGGTTCTCAAGAAGAAGACGTCCAAGAAGAGTTATTCTCTGGTGCCGTCTCCAGAGATCAAGAAGATGGGCGCAGCCAAAGTCAAAACTGAGAAAATAAAGGCTAAATCTTTCCTACAGAATAGCCCTTCTATGATGCAGTCTCCAGAGAAGAAGAAGCAACTTGTGGCTGCCAAAATCAAAATGGAAAAAAAGAAAGCAAAATCTCTCCAAGCGATGGCTGATTCTGCAGTACCGTCTCAAGAGATGAAAAAGCTTTCAGCTGTTAAAATCAAAACGGAGAAAATGGAAGCAAAATCTCTCCAAGCGATGGCTGATTCTGCAGTACCGTCTCAAGAGATGAAAAAGCTTTCAGCTGTTAAAATCAAAACGGAGAAAATGGAAGCAAAATCTCTCCAAGCGACAACTGATTCTCAAGTGCCGTCTCAGGAGATGAAAAAGCTTTCAGCTGTTAAAGTCAAAACTGAGAAGAAAAGAGAAAAATCTCTACAAGCGACAACAGATTCTAAAGTACCATCTCATGAGAAGAAAAAGCTTTCAGCTGTTAAAATCAAAACAGAGAAAATGGAAGCAAAATCTCTCCAAGCGACAACAGATTCTCAAGTGCCATCTCATGAGATGAAAAAGCTTTCCGCTGTCAAAGTCAAAACTGAGAAGAAAAGAGAAAAATCCCCTCATATAGTGAAGAAGGAAGCACAAAATATGAAATCTCCCGAAGTTGAAATTACCTTCAAACGTAAGTCAGAGCAAGCAAGATTGGCAAAAAAATCTGTGAAAAAATCTAAAACTGAACCCAGTTCAAAGCTCAACAGATTTGATGAGATGAAGAAAATCCACAATACGCTTAAGGAAAAGAAAGAGAAGACCATCAAGCAGAGAGAAGAAGATAAGGAAGATAAGAAGGGAGAAGAAGATAAGGAGTCGGATGAGTCGGCTGACGAGGATGACGAGGCGTGCAGGAGCTATGCTCAAGACTTTGGCATGGACGAAACAAATGAAGTTTTGGAAGCCGGTGATTCAGATGTGGAGGAGGCAAGTAAACAGGAAAAAAGGGAGAAGAAACAAAAGAAAAAGAAGCAAAAAGAAGCGTGGGTGAATCGCAATCACCCTGATGAGGTGGCCCGCACCGTCTTCGTTTCAAACGTCAGCCTCAGCACCACAGGCAAAAAAATGCTGGCTTTCATGAAACCATATGGCAAAGTGCTCAATGTTAGGTGAGTTGGCATGGATGAAGCCATATGGCAAGGTGCTCAATGTTAGGTGAGTTGGCATAGATGAAGCCATATGGCAAGGTGCTCAATGTTAGGTGAGTTGGCATAGATGAAGCCATATGGCAAAGTGCTCAATGTTAGGTGAATTTGTACCTTAGATGGGCAATGACTATTTCATTGTGTTATATAAAGCTATTTTATATAATAAAATAAAGCTCAGATAATTTATGACAATTTATGACAAGGTAAAAGAATTTATGACAATTTTCTAGCCATACTTTGTTACATGAAACAATGAACTCTTGTAGAAAAAATGCCATTTATAAATTGTCAAAATCCATGTTGTTGATGATTGAATTTTCTGTATGGAATGACCATATTCTTTCCTGATAAAATCTTTAGGTTATATATACATTGGGTGAGAATTGTTCATGGATCTTTATTATTCATTGCCATTCATTCATGGAAAAAAAAAATTCATGAGATTCTTATGCTCAAAAGTAGAACTTTTCTTTGAGATGACACAAAAAGTTTAAACTTTTTCTAACTACAGTGTTATTGCAGGATTAACTAATGTTAATAATACTATAGTATTAATTATTACTGTAGTATTGCAGGTTTAACTAATGTTAATAACACATATTATTAACAATAATTGTAATATTAATACTAATAATACTATAGTAATAATAATTACTGTGCTATTGCAGGTTTAACTGATGTTAATAATACAAATAATACTAAAAATACCACTTTTAATTCCATAGTATTAAAATTAATGTGGTATTACAGGTTCAGCTAATGTTAAAATAAATAATACTAACACTAATAATACTAGTAATCATAAGTACTGTGGTATTACAGGTTTAACTAATGTTAATAATACAAGTGATACTAAAACTAATACTACTTACAATACTATAGTAATAATAAGTAGGTACTTTGGTATTGCAGGTTTAACTAATGTTAATAATACAAATACCAACACTGCTAATAATATTATAGTGGTATTAATAAAATTGTTGTATTGCAGGTTCCGCAACCTGCCCCTGAACAGGAACACGAAGCTGAAGCTGCAGCAGCTGGCCCGCAAGAAGGAGTTCAGGAAGGACGCGTCGTCCATGTGCGCCTTCGTCAAGTTTAGTGCCCCCGAGCAGGCTGAGGCCGCCCTTGCTGCTAATGGCAAGGTAAGTTTAGTTATCTTATGATGCAACTGAACACTTTTACTTTTATTAAATATTACTTCTGAAAAGTGTCTCTTTGATTATAATTATGTGGTTCAATTATCCAATGATAGCAAATGTAATTGACGCCCCCAAGCAGGCTGAGGCCGCCCTTGCTGCTAATGGCAAGGTAACTTCACTTATCTTATAATGCAACTGAGCACTAGTTTACTGTTAAATACTGCTTATATAAAGTGTCTCTTTGATTATAATTATGTGGTTCAATTATTGTGGATAGCAAATGTAAACATTGCACTTCAGATGAAAGTGTGGATTAAATTTCAGGTTAAGTAAATATTTTATCATTGTCCACTTGGCATTTGAGTATAGGTATATATCCTCAATTATATATAATCATTAATAGTACGTACCTATAATGCAAGAATGTACTATAAATTTGACCTGTTTCACGCAGGCTCTGGACTATAAATTTGACCTGTTTCACGCAGGCTCTGGACTATAAACTTGACCTGTTTCATGCAGGCTCTGGACTAGTAAATTTGACCTGTTTCATGCAGGCTCTGGACTATAAACTTGACCTGTTTCACGCAGGCTCTGGACTATAAACTTGACCTGTTTCATGCAAGTTCTGGACAATTGCTAAGTTCTGACTTGTATTGTGCAGGTGCTTGACGACCATCACGTCTTCGTGGAGCCGGCGAGCCAAAAGACGAGCGAGGCGAAGCGGGACGTCCTCTCCTCGGGACAGCAAATTGTTGTTGGCAACTTGCCTTATGGTCAGCCATGCTTGATAATTGTTGTGTCTAATTATTGTCTGTAACTTGCCTTATGGTCAGCCATGCAGCCTAACAATTTCAGATACAATCATAAAAACTAGCAATTAGAGACCTAAATTAGCTTAATTGAGTAAAGTATATATATATAGTATATATATAGTATGACGTGCGGGCGCTGACGTTATAGACGACCAGGCGCTGATGCCTCGTATCATCGATACGTACGTCCGTGCATGTCCGTCAAGTGCATATCCGTTTTTAGTCCGTTGCGTAGCAACGGACTAAAAAGGAGAAAATAAAATACTTAAAAAAAACTTAAAAAAACACGTTTTTCTTGTAGACTAAGGAGTAGAAAATAAATTATGGCTCGCCCCAAAAAAAACATGGGTCGGGCTGTACGTTCACCATCAAATTTCTAAAATTCGTGTGTTGTGTGCTTTTCGCTTTTTTTATCATGAATCTGCCAATATGACGAGGGTTGGGCTGTACGTTCACCATCAAATTTCCAAAATTCGTGTGTTGTGTGCTTTTTGCTTTAATCATAAATCTGCCCGACACACGTTTTTGGGGCAAGCCATAATTTTTATTTTTTCCTACTTTTTAGTCCACAAGAAAAACGTGGTTTTTAAAAAAAAAATTTTTAAGCATTTTACTTAATACGCACACGATTATCCCTCAGGCCCTATATGTACTCAACAGTCACATTTCAAGCCACAACTAAAAAAACTTTAATGTACAATGGCATGTCTTCTTTATGTGCTTTAGTAGTATGAATTCTAGCCAATTAAAACCCTTATCATTGTTACTGACACGGTCACACCCAATATGTAAATAAGTATTTTCCGGACGTTTCATATCCAAGGGAACGCACGAGCTTGCTCAGCTTGACATCACAATCAGGCCATAATGAATACGTGTACCAAGTTTCATCGAGCTACGTTCAGTACTTTGGGAGATATTCGATGTACACTGAATCTGGAGACCGGCCGCGGGTCCGACTGTAAATTCGTCCGAGACGTGGGAACGAAAGTGGCAACTTTCCAATTGATATTCTAGACGTATATAAATTTCTTGCTATATTAAACAACACACTAAACGTACCGATAGGCGGTAGTAAATTAGTCTTTTCCCTATAATAGAATAACTGTAGAGTGGTGTAGTGCGTAATGCCTTTACTATAGTGACGAAATCAACTGAGTAGGTAACTTGTTGGTGTTACTGATATTCCCTAGACTCGAGAAGCTTAGCTTAGTAACCAACATATTTGCTTATTACGTAGTTGGCGGGCGCTCCATCGAAGTAACGAACATGCACTGGGCATCGCAAAGGGAAACATTTCTCACTCAATAAATGATGTTTTTGCTTACAGTTGAATACTCCTTGTTAAACTTTTTTTCATGTTATTAAAATATGGTATCCTATAGTAGCTGTCTCTTATACACATCTAGATGTGTATAAGAGACAGGAGCTAGGCATTTCAAATCTGAACATATATTTTTCCATAGCTTTATCTAGTCTGTTCTTGAACGCGTTCATACTTGGAACGCCAACGATGTCATCGGGGAGGCTGTTCCACATGTCGGTGATTCGAAGCGAGAAGAAATTTTGTCGCGTGGAGAAGTTGCAGCGTAGTTTTTTAGTTTATAGCTGTGGCCCCTGGTGTTGGTTCATGTTTCAAATTCCAGTAATCCTTCGGAGACCTTGTATAAACCATGAGTATACTTGTATACTTCAATGAGGTACCCACAACACTTCTGGGACCTTGTATAAACCATGAGTATACTTGTATACTTCAATGAGGTCCCCACGCAGACGTCGATAACTGAGGCTTGGAAGCTTCATAATCTTTAATCTTTCTTCATAGGACTTGCACTTCAAGCCTGGAATTATCCTTGTTGCGAATCTTTGAACATTCTCTATTGAATTTTTGTCCTTTTCAAATCTCGGTGACCACACAACGTTTCTAAATTCTAGATTCGGGCGCACGACAGCAACAAACAACGGCTTCATCGCTTCTGCATCTAGGAACTCGTATGAGCGTCTGTATAATACAAGAAGTTTGTTGGATGTGTTAGCTTGCGTTTCAACATGCTTAGAAAATTTCAGCTCCTTGTCCACATAAACTCCGAGATATTTTTCCACACTAGACTTTTCAATCATTACTTTCTCGTTGCAACCATGTCTTCTCATACTGTAATCTTGCTGTTCATTGTTCTTCCCGAGGTGAAGTACTTTACACTTGTCAGCATTAAACCGCAGCTGCCACGTATCAGCCCAGTTAACTAAGCTGTCAAGATCATCTTGCAATTGCGCTTTAAAAAATTATTCGACGCATTCTTCACTGAATTATAAGCTTTTGTGTCGTCGGCATACATGGAGCACACGCTGGACACTGCTTCTGGCAGATCGTTTATAAAAGCAACGAACAAAATAGGCCCTAGAACGCTTCCTTGTGGCACGCCACTGCGCACTGATGCCCAGTCTGACACGGTCCCGTTAATACTGACACGTTGTCGTCTTCCTGCTAGAAAATCTCTGATCCATTGGAGTACGTTTCCCTCAATTCCCAAAGACTTCACTTACGTAACAGCCGCTCATGCGGAACACTGTCAAATGCCTTGGCAAAATCGAGGTACAATGCATCCATTGGTTCCCTTTCGTCCAGCAGGCTAGTCCACTCGTTCAACGTAGATAATAAGTTAGTGGTGCAGGATCTACCGGCAATAAAACCATGTTGACAATCTGATAGGAGATGGTGAGCAGTCAAGTGATCGATAATCCTATCCTTCACAACAGATTCCATTAGCTTACAAACAACACTTGTCAGACTGACAGGGCGATATTTGCCGGGGCTGCCTTTGTCACCTTTTTTGAACAATGGTGTTATTTGAGCTTCTTTCCAGTCGGACGGCAAAGTTCCTTCGTTCAAGGTTTTTTGAAAGAGTACTGTCAATGGGCCGGCCAGAACGGATGCTAATTCTTTGAGCAATCTGGGATGGAAGCCGTCTGGTCCACATGACTTGGGATTTTGAGCTACCAGACGCCTGAGAACCTCTTCTTCGTGTAGTTCAAAATGTGTTAACTTCGAGCTGACTGGGCGCTCCTCAATATCTGGAATACTGTTCAAGTCCTCATCTGTGAATACACTGCTGAAGAACTGCTTAAGAACGTTTGCCTTGCCCTCGTCAGAGGATATCTTTCGTTGGTCTACTTTCAAATCAGAAATACCGTCCTTTGGCTTACACTTCGAACTAGCGTACAAAAAGAAAGCTTTTTTTTTTTTTTGTATTTTTAGCAATATTTTTTTCGAAGTTTTTCACTGCAGTGCGACAAACTTTTTTAACTTTATTTCAAGCTCTTGCATACAGGTTATAATCCGAATCGCTGCTAGTTCGTAAATAACGCTTGTAGGCTTCTTTCTTGGTGTGAGTCCTATGAGGAAAGATTAAAGATTATGAAGCTTCCAAGCCTCAGTTATCGACGTCTGCGTGGGGAACTCATTGAAGCATACAAGTATACTCATGGCTTATACAAGGTCCCAGAAGGATTGCTAGAATTTGAAACAAGAACCAACACCAGGGGGGGGCCACAGCTAGAAATTAAAAAAACTGCGTTGTAAAACATCCACGCGACAACATTTCTTCTCGCTTCGAGTCACCGACATGTGGAACAGCCTCCCTGACAGAATCGTTGACGCTCCGAGTATGAACGCCTTCAAGAACAGACTAGACGAAGCTATGCAGGAGCATATGTTCAGTCCTACAATGCCTAGCAAATTACGGACCAGGCAATAAGTCCAGCAGCTATCTCAATCAATCGTCAGTTATGGAAAGATCGGGTTCCAAAGGCTGGATCCCTTGTGAATCAAGTCACGAAAAATTCAAGAATCGGCAAGAGGCCATGGGCCTATTTCTTCTGTGCCGACACTTCTATTCTATTCTTTAGCTGAGCCTTAACTGCACTGTTCATCCACTGAGACTTTTTGACTCCACCAAGCGTAATCTTAGGTACACAGGTATCAACTGCTGACATAGCCGTGTCTTTGAGAAACGACCATGAATCAGCCACATTCAGGTCCTTAATACAGTCCGAAATATTCGCCGCATTCACCGCTTCACGGAGTTTATCATAGTCGCCTTTCGCAAAGTTCAAACGTTCACGCTTCCGAAGCGTTTTTTCTGCACAACACTTGGTACTGAAAAACAATGATTGGTGGTGACTTTTGCCCAACGGGGCCTCGTGGCGAAGCTCATCTATCATTGATTCTTCACTAGTAAACACAAGATCTAGAATATTTGGGGTCTGTTTACCCCTAAAATGAGTTGGCTTGGTGATGTTTTGGATTAAGGGGGAGGTATTCTTTTTTTTCGGATATGGCTTTTCTGGTATTTAGTATCATCTTAAAGCTTACATTCTGCCCTATCCAACGATACCACTGCGATCCCTGTACGTGAATTTATACGTACATGACGGCTCTTTAAAGGGGCGGGTGGGGGAGTTCCTTCAAAAATTAGATACAAGGTAATTAGCTGCTGAGCATTTTAAATATAGTTTCTACTTGTGTTGTGCTGCAGTTACGTGCTTAGTCTCATCTTAAAGCTGACATTCTGAGCTTTCCAACGATACCACTGCGATCCCTGTACGTGAATTTATACGTACACGGCTGCTCTTTAAAGGGGGGCGGGGGGTGGAGTTCTTTCACTAATTAGATAGGAGGTAATTCACTCGCCAACACTACATATATGGTTGTATCTGGCATCAAGGCTCAGTCACCCTCCTCGCTTCGTACGGAGAGGTGTACTGCAAGTCGCTGCTAGCATCCTTTGAGTGGATGGATGCTTCAGAAGCCTGTAGTTTGGTATCTATGCTACATTCAGTGACATTTCAAAGCGCGCGGGACTTTGTCGCGCTGTCCTGAAAAGTTTAACTTTTTGTCACGGCAAACCTATCTCCTCCTAAAGTTTTGAATCTACCGCTATGAGACATATACCATTCGATTC